GATGGAATTGCCATTTGTTGTTAAACGAGGAGGATAACTTCTCGATGAAGCATTTAAATATGTCGGTGCAGCATACGTGGGCCAATATGAACAAGGCGCGGGTAATGATGAGGACGTCGATGTAGTTGACGGTAGTGTGTAGTCTTCACTCGATGGTGTAAAATATTGCATGCTATTGTTTGATTTGGAAAATATGGTCATCTGAGCTGCTGCGGCAACGGCAACCGCATTAGGAGAAGAACTGTAACGAAATGTGGATGGAGATGTTGCTGAAATATTTGTATCAACTAGAGTTGTACCATTACTCTGGTATGCCGAATGGATATCATTAAGTGAATTATGTAACATAACATCACGATTAGCAGCCATAACATTGTCAATCATGAATAAATTTAAAGAATTTGGTGCCAAACCCGTTTGTGTACAGTTTGGTGGTTTGGAAGCAAACTCAGCTGTTTTACTGGATAAGCCATTTTGTGAAGAATTGTTTGAAACATATGGTGTAGGATCACCTGATTCACTTGCTTCCACTGGTTCTGCTTTCGTTATTGGATAAGGAGCATGACGATGCTAAAAAGTAGCGGTAATAAAGTAAAAGTAGTGGTTTATTTACTTATATAATTACAATGAGTTGAGATGGCGGGCGATATTAACGTGTATGAATATTATAATGAAATTTTCTATGTAGAAAAACGATGTTCAAGCATTTTCCCGATAAAAAAAAAAGTTTTTTGCCAGCAACAACAAAAAAATTTGGAAGACAAAAAACTGATTTCCTCGTAAGTTAATCAAAAATCTTTGATTACCATTTTTCCTCATGAAGAAAAATATTTTAATATACTTGCGCTTTACTGTTTCCCTTCTCAACTCCTCTTCTCGTTTCTATGAATCATTTGAATGGCCTTTTAAGTAGAAATGTGCATACATTCACTTGGTGAGAATGTCTATCATTGCTCACGTTTCATCAAACGCAAACGATTAGAATTATGAGTATTGCTTCACAAAGTGATCCGCTACCACTTTCTCCCGTAACTTATTATTAATAACAATTTCTTTTACTTTTTTATTCGATTGTTCCGAACAATTATTTTCAT